TCAAGTCATAATTCAGTTTCTTTCACTGAAGTAGAAAATTACTGTTACAGCATACTGAACTTTTAATGAATACTGCTGTTGTGAATGCCCTTCTTTATGTATCATAAAGTAACAAGCAATAAAATACTAATTCAGAAGTCAAACAACAAAAATCAGCATTATATTTTCAAATTTTCACAGTTTGACTTCTGCGATTAGTATTAGTTCGGCGTGGATGTGTTTAATTAGGCAATCCAATTATACAATATAAGAAAAAAAAAAAATTGTTTGAGGCACTTGCACAATTGGGAAAAAAAAAAAAAAAAAAAAAAAAAAAGCAAGCACAAAACTTCGGTAAAAAATCAGGAAAAAGAAAAAAAAAAAAAAAGTAAGAAGGCAGTGTTTATAAAATGAGCAGAAACTGGTCTAATGTTACAGTAAAAATTCTGAAACTGTTGGTTCTAAAAAAAGACAAAAAATGCAACTAATGAAGTTAAATCCTCCTGCAATAGCTGTAAAGCAAAACCATGCCTTTGTGCATATCACTTTAATAAAATGGATTAATTTTTGTTAAAATATTATATTTCTTTCCTGAAAGTTTTGATTAAATAAAATCTTAAGTCGCTGAAACGAGACGTCTAGTCAATATGCAAAGACTGCAGTATATCATTAACCTAAATGGTATGGCCACAGAGGCCTGTTCTGATATCGAGTAAGGCATGGTTTACAAATGTGGGCTAGCATTGTGTTATGCTACATACATGTTCGGAAGGAGCAAACTGAATATTCTGTGTCAGGAGTGGCGACAGAGGCTCTGGCAGGTGACTGGTGCAGCTCTTATGTAAATAAGATATATGTATGAAGTATTGTAAAATAAAATTACACAATGTCCAACAGAAAGAGAGGACTAATTAATTTTTTACAAAGTTATTAGTAGACTTAAACTGATCAATTTCCAAATGCAATTAGTTCACTTCTTGTTAGTTAAGAAACTTAATAATGTTAATATAAACTACATAGGTGGATCAAAAAGAAAAGTTACAAGCATTAGCATTTGAAGTAATTATTGCGGAGGGAACACTTTATTCCCAGAATGTAGGCAGATGGCACTAGTGTCTAGAAGCTGTTGTGTGGGTAGCTAGAGTAAATTTGTAGACACGTTAGAGCGATTGAAATGGCAAGACTTTTAGAAAATGGTCTATACCATTATCACTGATCATTATGGTGCCACTTAGACAAGATTATGTGCAGCCATCTGAAGCAAGTGCCCTGACATGTTGAGTGATGTTGTCATCCTCCTGCATGGCAATGCCGACCCCATACTGCTCACCAAACTCAACTGCTGCAAAAGTTTAAGAGGAAAATCTGGAGTCACCTCCATTACAGACCAGTCACTATTTTCTTTTTACTGAAATTGAAGGAACATTTATCTGGAATGAGGTTCTCTTCAGAGTGTGATGTGAAACAGCCACAGAGAACTGGCTCAATAGGCTCAATGTGATTTCTACAAAGCCAAGTTAAACATGTAGGTCTGGCATTCAGATAAATGCCTGAATAGATTTTATGATTATGTGGAAAAATGACGAGCAAGTATACCTCATAATTCCCTTTCATATTTTTGTCTATTGTTAATAAATAACCTTTTGTAACCAATTTTTTTGGACAACCCCCTCAAAGAATTGCACAATGTCTAAAAGAAAGTGATTAATTTACTTAATTTTCCTTTACCAAGTTATTAGTAGACTTAAACTCATCAATATACAAACATTAATTATTTCATTTCTTGTTAGTTAAAAAACTTAATAATGTTATTCCGAAACATAAAAAGTAAATTAATAAATAAAAATACTGCACTGATTATATCAAAGAATTCTGTAAAGAAAATCTTAACAGTCGGATTTTCTTGTGGATGCTTTACGAATGGGTGGATGGAGGCTATAGAGTAAGGGTCTACCGAATTTCTGAATCATTCGCAGCAGGATAAACTGAATTGGTGTGATCTGTGAGCAGAACAGAAAATTCATGTAATACATCAGACATATTTAATATTACACTGACTACTAATAAGTATTTGGACACCTGTGACAGAAAAGAAAAACAAATTTTATTCAAAATCAATAGTTGGTAGAGCCTCCACGAGACGGGTAATTACAGCCGGGACCCTCGAGGCATACTTTCCAATGTCTTTGTATGACAGCTAGTGTTATTTTCTTCCTCAGCTTGGAGGAGGACATAGGATTCTTTCACCGATTTTGCACATATAGTGCACCCCTGAATTCAGCGATTGCAATCGTCCCAGAGGTTAGGTTCTCGATAGGGTCAGGTCTGGACTCTGGGTAGGCCAGTCCATTCGATTGAATTCCATTGGCACCAGGCCAAGGCCTTGCGTTAACGTTGAAACACGGGACAACTGGCATTGTCCCCTGAAGGAACAGGGGGTTCAAACCCGTAAAAAACCTGCCCTCACGTAGGAAGCACATAGTCTCCAGAATAGTGCAGTAGGCATCGGAGTTGAGCTTACCATGAATGGGGACCAAGGGTCCCAGCCCTACCAGGAGAAACACCCAGATCATTAATTCACCTCCGCGAACTTTGACTGTTGGCCACAATGAATTCTGGCAGGAGACGTTTTCCAGGTAGACACCAGACCCAGACCCTGCCATCCGAATGGTAAAGGGTGAACCTTGATTCGTCACTCAAACCTGTTTCCACTGATCTACGGTCCAATTTCGATGTGCTCCGCACCAAATTAACCGAGCAGCGCAGTTGGACTTTGTGATCAAAGGCTTATGGGCAGCAGCCCGACCATGAAAACCAAGCAGATGTGCTTCCTTACGGATGGTATTCTTTGAAACAATTCAAAGAATTATGTAATTCATAATAACAATTCAAAGAATTCCCGGATGCCTGTTGAAACTCCTCGTGGATGAGGGCCATCGGTTGGGTGCGGTTTTCCGAATTTCTCTGGACAGCATCGTCGTCTCCATATCCCAGTTGTTGGTCTGCGACTCGGGGCACATTCCGACAATCACACTCACCTTCCCATTCTTAATCACATAGGCCACTGTCGATTTGGGTGAATTCAGATTGTAGGTATGTCCCTTAAGGATCGGCCACATTTGTGATACCGATAATTATACTTTCTCGAAATCAGAGAGTATGAAATGAACGAGGCATCTGCATGCGACTAAAGCCGGGCTGTTACCTACACGATAAATACCGGCGGACCCCATCTCCGTCCGTGACGTACCTTAGGACCGCAGATATCGTCATTTGCATAGGTGTCCAAATACTTATTGGTAGTCAGTGCATATTATACAGAATTTGATGCATGTTAAAAATAATTTAGAAGTTAATTCAGCACCTGAATTTATAGCAACTGGAAACTTTAGGAATTTCTAAGCAAATTACAGTCACAGCTTAGAAGATGATGCTACATTTAGAAAATTTTGAGTGTCCATAAAATTTGGTTCGTTTATTTACACTGCTGGCCACCCAAATTGCAACACCAAGAAAGACAAGAGATATCATGAGAAAATTTAACAACAAAATTTATTTAGTAGATAACATGCTGACAAAATTATTGACCTCTGTGACAAATGACAAAATTATTGACCTCTGTGAAGTGTGATTCCTTCCAGACTCAATAGCCAAGGTAGCCGCCCATTGTTGGAGATCACTGCTGCCACACACCTCGGCATGAGTCAAAGAGACTTTGGTGTTTTCTTGGGTACAGCAGGAGCAAGCAGCTTTTACAGTTGCCCAAAGTTCATCTGGTGTGCAGCTTGGGATGTACCTGGGTCCGTTCAGCAAAGGTACCTCATGTTTTCTATCCGGTGTGTGAAAGATTGGAGAGCGAGCCGGCCAGGGGAAGCAATTCAATCTGGCGATTGACGAAAACGAACCCTTGACAATGTGTGGTCGCGCATTATCCTGTGACATATGGCTGTGGGCAAGCCCTGAAAGTTCCGGAAAAGGACAATGGCTCCACACCTCGGAAAGTAGCACTGGCTGTTTAAGTACTGCGGTAATGCGTATTAGAGGAGTGCGATTGTGATCTCCAATACCACCCCATACCATATTAATACTTGGTGCCGACCAGTGTGGCAGTGCATAACACAGCTGTTCAGCATCATCTCCCCGGGTTTCTCAAGGACTCGGAATTGACCACTGTGTGTTCAGACAGAAGAGTGACTCTTCAGTAAGGACAAATTCATTCCATTTCTAAAGTCCAATCCTTCTTTATCGCCACCACTGGCGGCGGAGGGAGACGTCTTGTGGTTCTGCGTCGGGGTGGTAGACGAGCAATGGACGTCTTGCGGACAGACACTCTTGCTGTAAACAGATTCAAATGGTACAGGCAGACACTGGTTTGATGCATTACCGACTGGAAGGTGCGTGGATGGTTCGTGATTGGACTGAGCGCTCCGTCCTCGACCCTGCGAACAATGTTCTGTCATCACATGAAGTGGTGCTCTGAGGTGGATGCGATCGAACATGTTGGTCCGTCATACCCTCCTGCATCCAACGGTCACATATGAGCATTACAGTTGTTTGGTTTCGTCCAACAAGACTACCAATTTCCCTGAAAGATAAGCCACACTCTCGGCAGGCCACTATCCTTCCTCTGTCGAACTCAGATACTTGATCAAACAATGATTGCTGTTTACTACAAGGCATAATTGATCGTTTTTTTGAAAAGGAAGAAAAAAAAAGGCCTAACTTGAAATTGTCGAAAACTCCGAGCCTTAAATAGCACTTTGAAGTGGCGCCACAGGCGCGTGTGATGTGCGTCTGTGCTGAAATTTCAACCGTTTGCATATCTTACCTCCGCTAATGCATGTTGTAAATTTCATGTTATTTGCATGCTTCCTTCAGAGCGTTGCATTTCCGATTCAGCTTTTATTGCATTATAAATAAATCTATTCTTTTGTTCCCTCCTCTCCAAATAATTTTTTAGGTATAATATTATTCATTTTTTCGGAAACACAGACATTCTGGGTAATAAATTATGGATTACATTTTATTTAATAAATAAAAATATATTTATTTTTCTATAATAACAAAATTATTATGTTTCATTAATTACAGTTAATTACATATTCAATTTAAGACAGGAGTGAATTCTTATGCATGGAATGATTCCTGACATCAAGTATACATTCTTCCATTTCTGGATTTTGAAATGTCACTGTCATAAAATAGGAACCATTTCTGCATCTCTATTCCTCAGTTCAAACTTCTTTCACAGTCTGGAAATAAACATTAGAAACTCTATTTATAACATAATATTATTAATAAAGAATTAACTAAAAAAAGCAATACATATAGAGTAGATATAATCAACTTGGAAGAGGCCCCAACACAATGAAATACAATTTCTTCGAAGATTTTAATTTTTTATAACTTGTTTACTTTTATCTGAAGTGGAAATTAAAACACTTTACATTTTATAGTATATATAATATATTAATCACTTTCTTTCTCTCCGCAAAATATATACCCCAAAGAACCATTACATTACGACCACTCTCCATCTATAACAATGGGCTCGCCCAGGAATAAAACCACTGCTTGTATGCGGCTGATGTTGGAGTATATAAAGCGGCTATGCATTGTCTTTCCACACATAGTGTGATTAGCGACATAATGGGAAAATCAGCTGATTTATCAAACTTCGATAAAGGTCAAATTATAATGGCTTGGTGACTGGGAACATAAATATCAGAAATGGCGTGTTTAGTGAGTTGTTCACATGCAGCTGGTGTGGGCACATATCGAAAGTGATGTATGGATGGTGAAACAACAAGTCACCATCTATGAGTGTGTCATCACTGGTGCATTGATTCCAGATGAGAGCGGACATTGCTACACATTGTTCGCTGTGACTGAAATGCTATAACAGCCGAAATCACCACCAGCTACAACAGTGGCAACCCAGACAATGTTTCTCAACATACTGTGCAGTGTACATTGCTGTGTATGGGTCTACACAGCCGGAGGCCGAAACATGTACCTGCACTGATTGCACTTCATCGCCAGCTGTGTCTGCAATGGGTCAAGAAACATCGGCACTGGACATTAGAAGAATGGGAGAAAGGTGCATGGTCGGATGAATCACGTTTTCTGATCCATCACATTGATAGACATGTGCTAATACACTGATTTCCAATGAAACTCCTGGCTCCCAGATGCACAGTTGGATGGAGACAAGCCAGTGGTGGGGGTACTATGCAGACAAAAACAAGGATTGACGAAGCAAAAAGCTTCTAAAACTAGTTACTTGAAAGAAAAAACCGTTCTCAGTCGATGTACTCAAAATACCCCCCCCCCAAAAAAAAGGCGTGGCTCAATTTTACATAAAGAAAAAATTTCTTTTTTTGTGACAAATTATAAGAGTAACTGCTAAAAAGTGAAGACAGTAAAATTTAAAACCAAATAAACTGAACTAACATTGTGAAAAAGTATGAAAAAATTATTGCTTCTGTAAACTTCTTATTCTAGAAATTCAAATGGCTGGCGAAAGCCTTTCATGCGAAAAAGGGTTGCCTAAAATTTTTTTAGTCCCGTTTATGGGTTTACCAGAAAGTGAGAAAAGTAGTTCCAAAACTGTGATAGCAACAGTGATTGACAATTAGAAATGCACAAAAATCAATTAAAAAAGCATGTGCTTTCTAGATGTAGGCTACTGGTGGAAGTTTGAAAGGTGGATGGAAGTTTGAAAGGGGGTGTACAATGTGTAAACTATGTAGAAATTAATGAGTTGAATGAGAAAATGACATCGTATTTTCTGGGCCAGGTCTTGAAAACTAAACAGTAACAATAGCGATGCTGTAATTCAGTGTATTAGCACATTTCGGTAGCAGATTAATCTTTAATTTAAATTATGACCCAGGAAACAAAAGGAGTGTTAAAAAAGTTAAAAGTCTTCATGTAATTGAGCTACAATACGTCTTGGAAAACTTAGGTGATAACCTCTTACTTAACACCATTAATCTAAGTACTCTGATGCAGATTATAAGCTTTAGCCATTCAAACAAGTTTGATGACTTTACAAACAAAATTATTAATATTTAGGATTTTTAAATTGTTACTTTACTTTCCTTCTCCTTTGCCAGGCATATATTACTACTTATAGCATTTTATTACTTATATTAACCAAAAAATAATATATTACTTTCATTTTATCACATACATTTGATTTTTTTAATATTTATTTTCTCTTTGATTATTCATGCAAGGTTAATGGCAGCAGAGTCTATGCAATTTTTCCATTGTTTCTTCAGGTCATTGAAACACTGTTTATAGATGTTTGAACTAACCGTTTGCAAAATACATGCAACATTTAATTTAATATCAAAAGATCTTTTCATATCTCTGATCTTTCATATCCATCTTAAGTTTCGGAAAAAAAGAAAAAAAAAAAAAAAAAAAAAACTGGCAATAAGTCAGGAGAATATGGTGGGTTATTTATCACTGCAATTGAATGCTTAGCAAGATAGTGTTGTACAGACATTGATGTATGGAGGACATGTAATTAGCATTATCATGCACAAATCAAATCATAAAATTCCTTCTTAACTTGCTCTATCCCGTTTCTTAATTGGAAAAGCACTTCCTTGTAAAAATACTGATTAATTGATGGATTTTCAGGGTCTAATTCTCAGTGAATAAGACATCTGCAATCAAAAAAATGCAATCAGTATCACCTTAGTCCTTGATTTCAACATCCATGCTTCATCTTTGTCCACATTTAAAGCAGCTGTCATACACTTATGTTCCTGATAACAATGCATCAACACATACTATTTGAATCATCTCAAACATTTCGGTAGCAGATTAATCTAATTTGTAACAAAATTTAACATCACAATCTTGAAGCAAATTCTTTTTATTTTTATACACTTTATTTGTATTTAAAATTTCTTTATTTGTCTTCTTAGTAAATGAAAATTATTCCGGCGTTTTTGATATCCAAATAACAAAATAACTAGTTTACTTTCTACACACAGATAGATTTATTCTTTTGCTTTTTTATTTTATTGTTTGACCTGTTAATTTGTCCTCAGTTACACTCTTTATATAAAACATATCTAAACAGCTTTATAGTAAATAATCTGTTTGTTTTTGTATGTAAAAAGTGTTATACAATATTAATGCAATGGTATAATAATGATGTTGGCATTATAATTATACCATAATATTTTTATCATTTCATAATGTATTATAATGAAATCAGTATGTAATAACACATAAAACAATCAGCTCTACTTAAAACTGGAATTTGCCACAAGCCACTCAGAATTCTCACTGATCCAATGTAGCATCCATAGTAAATAAATATACAAGAATTAAACCTTACGTAACTAGGAAAAACTCTAATAATGAAACCTGCTTTCAGTTGATTCTGGTTGAATAAGTAGGAGATCTCATCTGAGAAACATGTTTTGCTAAATGTCAGTAGTTCACTCTAAATGTCCGTAGGGAAAAATAGAGCTAGTTAAAGTAATGCATTGCTAAGGAAAATTTTCATTTAAAAAAGTCTGATTCTAATCACACAAGCAAAAAAAATTTTGATTCTACCTTTTACCTAAACACCACCGCACAGCAGGTATTTTCAACAATATTACCCTCAGGAAATGACTAATGCTTACTACACAACTTTCCAGATTGATTTGCAGATCATGCAAAAAGTTCTATACACTGTATTATTCCATACATCAACTGAAGAGGATACAATCGCACAATTTAAAAGTACTTAAAAGGTCTGTTTTGATATATTAGCAGATATTGATATTTAATCTTATAGTTTTCACCTCAAAACAGCTGTTTTGGTGGAATATAAAGTATCAAAATCACATTATGTACCTAATGAAAATACTTTGGTCCTCTAACTTATTTGTTATAAAATATTAATGTAATTTATATCAAATTTAACCATAGAAATTCCACTCACAGCTGAACAGTACTAGAGCCAAATGCTCTAAGCAATTATCTGGTTATTTATGCACTCAAAAATAAAAAATAGCAGCATTTAAAATACAAATTAAAGCTATTAGAGAAGAAGCATATTTAGATTACATATTTTCCAGACCAGAAGCGTGAAAAGAAGCCTGAGGTAGAAATGGAAGACAAGTCAATAACAGGAAAAAGGAAGACTTACCTAAAAATAGATATCACTATCTCAAAGATGGTGACATCTACGATGATCAAGTGACTTTTATAGAGAATGCCCATTCAGGCGGTCTGTCATAACTGCACTGATCTTCAAGATATTTTATATACTTTGATGTTGATGGTCGCAAATCTGTAATATATAAAAAATGACACTGAAACACTTTATGCTAGAATTAAAAAGCATTTGCGATTTTATCAACTGTTATTTCCTCCTGGAATTGTATTTGCAGCCAATATTACTGATCGAAATTCTTATACCGCCATTAGAGGCTTAACAGGGCTTAGTGGAGCTATTTAATTACAGAAACATTGAGATCTAAAACAAGGCCTAAATAAGGCCCATTAAGCAGTATAACTACTACCATACTACCTGAAATAACTTTAAATAGAATAAACAATTAAAATAGTATAAATTTAAAGTCTAGGAGCTGGTGAAATTTACCAGCTACACCAACAAACGCACATTATTACATATAATCATTTCTTGATAATATTTATATCAAATCCCATTACTATAAATAATTAATAATTACCAAAAGCCTCATACTCTTTAGCTTTTATTTCTTCCCACAAAAGGTCTGAAGACATTTATATCAAAAGTCAACCTAAATTTAAAGATTATCATGAGATTATTAAAAATTACCATATAATAATGATTATTTTAAATTGTCTTAAATCAATTTTGAACATGATATACTCCCCAAAACATTGAACCGTCTTACTGTGCTTCCCTCTACACTTCTTATTTTTTAAATGCACCAATAGGAAAAATATTTTTTCAAAAAAGTCTTCAACACTCACTTATTTCACTTGTATTATGTTTTATCTGCTTCAGAACTGACTAATGAAGACAGTTATTAAATTCGTGATCATAATTGGACTGCATATACACTTCATTATGTCAGCCATATTTAAACTGTGTCCTGCATAAACCTGCAATTTCATACAATTTTCTAAGATGTTTGGGTGGCAAAACAAAAATTAGAAAAATGTTTTAAGACTAAATGGAGCAAAAACATCTACAATATAATTAAAAAACTTTTTTTTTAAATTTCTGCTATTGTATCTTAATCTGAAGTAGGTCTTTATTCAATAAGATATAAATTGAGAAAATTCAATGATAACAAAAAGGAATCACTCATCAATCTATCTGAGTGGAAGCCCATGCATTTCATGTGTCTACTGATTATAAAACAAAAATATGAATAAATTTTAGGGGTTAATTACTTTGTCTTTCTAGTAGTAAACAAAGTTTCAAATCATGATGTAAATTTATAAATTTGACTAAATCCAGAATTAAATTCAAGATGGTTTTTTTATGCAAAGAATTATCTAGCAACAATAAAATGTCTTCAAATTCAGAATTGTGATACGTGTCTTGAGGAAAAGTGTTCAGCCAATTTTTTTTGATAAAATTAGAACATCTTTTAAACAAACAGAAATATAATTTTTCTCTAAAATTAAATAATGAAATATAGTTGCTATGACCTATAAGCAGACTATTTTGCAATTTTAAATGAACATCCTTTCACAGACTTCACAGCAGTCTATTAAAATAAATTTTAAATGTAATGTATTGCTTTTAAAGATAACATTTGGTTACCTTACATCAAATAGATAAATATACAATATTTTGACAACCTGAAGAGTTTGCTAATGGAAAATTAATTAAACTTGAGTGACAGAATACAAATTAAAAATATTTCTCAGCTGAAAAAAATATAAGAGAATATTTTCCAGAAGAAACAGAATGATATGATTGGGTTGAAAATCCATTTCAAAATTATAATCAATACCAGATCTCAATAGATTCAATATCAAAAGTTAAGCACTAGCAAAAATTCTAGAATTTATTTGAGTGAAAAATCACTTAGAGCACTTCAAAGGATGCCCTATTACATAATTAACCACACTCTTATGAGGATGACCACTTTTCGTAAAAGATATCTTCTTAAGAGTGTAGTTGCATAAAAGTGCCTGCAGTCTCATGGACCTGGTATGACTTTGACCAGACAACAACCTACAGCAAAACTTGTCAGAAGTTAACATGCAAACAACACTTGCACAACTTTGAAAATGTACATGTAAGGCTTATTTCTTAAGAGTGGCATAATTGAAAAATTTAAAAATTTGCCACAACACACAAGTGCATGCTACATTTTCTTACTATAGTATAACTGAATGCACTTCACTGCAGAGTGCTTAATTGAAAAGATAAGGGTTGGAATTTGCTGAACTACGTTTTACTATACTGCTGAACTATTTGGCTACTTTTCAAAATCAACAGCCATCAAAACATGATGCATGACATTATTTCACCAATTATCGGAGGAATAAATTGGCTCTGTTTTGCATACCATTTCCTTTGTACCCCTTTCACTACAAGCCATAGTTATTTTAGTGCTTTCCACAACTCATAAGTGTTTGAAGAATTTCGGTAGAATTCTATGGAGAATTTATAGTAGTTGGAGACTATGGCACAGATCATAATCTAATGTGGAAATTGCATACTGAGATAACTGTCAACAGGGATTCAAATGGACTGAATATCTTAAAGCAGTTCCGTTGGTTACTGATACAGTTATCTGTAGTTCAATTTTTTAAATTCAACCTATATTGTCTAGCTTCTGATCTCTCACCATTATGAACTTCTAATGACTTAATATCAACAAAGATGTTAATCTCCTAAGAAACTTCAAATTTAAGTTTCTCTGATTAACCAACAGTCAACAGTTACTGCAACAATGCTGATACATACAGAGCCATACCTATTAAAGAATTTATGATATCTTACTTCTCAAATGAAAATGAAAGTTTAGCTTATGGAAATAATAAGCATAAGTATCCAATTTTAGAATTAATATCAATGTTATAATGTTCTTTCAGAGTTAATTAATTTGTACTTATTTTAGATAACTTCTAACATGTATAGAGGTTATACCAGTTTAAAAATGAATGAAAATTCTGCATTAGACTGGCATGAATTTAGGAGGATCTTTTCTTAGATTTTTTTTAATAATATGGTACAGGTCTCTCATCTTTGAAGTGTTACAAACCAAAAGTTTTTATATACAACATTGCATACTTAATTACAAACCTCTTAGTAGTTGCAATATAGTACATATGTAGCTGGTGAAGATAACAGCTTTTTCGTATGTTTCATACAAATAAGAACATTTTATAGAATTATACAAATAATTCTATAAAATGATATAGTTTATACACTGGTTTGTTTATTTTTTCTAATTTCAAAATGACTTGCAAAGTTAAGCAAAAGCTAATAGAAGAATATCAAAGGAATCTAGAGTTATGTAAAATGTTGCTGCAGGCAGATTTTGCAATGTAAAGTTTATGATAAAATTGAAAATTTGGATAAATGTTTTATAGCCTGTGCCATTATCAGTTGAAATTTCAAATATTATATTTGTTACTTGACAATAATGAAAAATATGCTTCATAAAATATAATTTCTTGAAATAGCTTTCATATAACAATAAAATAAATATTTAAATAATTTATGATATTTACCTAGTTTACCTATATTTAAAAGTGTGGGAAAGGATTAATGCTTAGCAACATGTAGATGGTGATTAAAAAATTGACAAAAATATAAAGGCAGGTAGAAAGGATATAAATAAGCAGATTTCATAATGGTATGTGTGCTAAAATAACAAGTAGAGATGAGAAATGGGCTGTTCAGCAGGGCATGCGTGGAGTTGCAGATAAAATTGAGCAGCTGCTCAGCAAATGTCTACAGCTCCATATATAAAACATATTATCAACATGCTCTACATTTGTGTAATGCTACAAAAAACAGTGCCTTGTACTATATTAATATGCCATTACCTACCTCTATATTTTTGCTGGATCACCCCGTATACAGGAATTCTAAAGTACCATATGACCAAGTCAACAACTGACAAATTTTTCAATCCATCCTTTAAATTATCATTTCCGAGTTTTTTTCCAAAGGCATTTAAACTGAATTTTTAATTGAGGATCTTATTTATTGGCTAATCATTCATTGAATATCCCTGTAAGGCACTTAGCTGGTTTACTGATTAATGAGAAATAATCTTCGGCTGCCCATGCTCAGAATACTCTTCAGTTAGCCATGTTATTCTGGGTTGTGTTAATGATCAAACCAAAAACTTATAATTTCAGTTAGAATTAACTCTTTCTTTCCTAAACTATATAGCTTGGGATCATTATCAATAAGAATCTGAAAGAACAAAGGACACAGAAAATTATACATTAACTTCAAAGATCTGCTCCTAGTGCAATATAACAGTCTTCCTATTCTGGATATGAGATACATAGACAGTGCAGTTACTGAACATGTTACTGCTCAGTGACTCAACAATAAATGCTTATCATATGATACTGAAGAAATGTTTTCAAAGTTGTGGCTTTAGCCATAACCTGACATTCATTAAAAAGTAAAAAAATAGTAATAAAAATAATAAAGAAAACAGAAAGATATTCTGTATTTTCAGGGCTGAACAACAGCTAATTTCAGACAATAAAACAGTGTTTAAAAGCTAGGTTTTGGTGTAGCTCTGCTGGCTTGGTTTAATACTAGAATTACCAAGGTGGGTCATCTGTGACCTAAGACGTGGCTTTGCTTTTTGGCGCCCTCACTAAACTCCACAGCAATCTTTTTCAAATTTTGACTTTGCCTAAATTTCAGTAGAAATGCTTAAAGAGAATTTAGTTTAATTCCCCCAATGAAATACTTTTTATTTACATGTCTGGTAACTTTAGAAACTACCACCATGGATAATAAATTAAACCTGAACACACAAGATAATGTTCTTTTTCTCTTTAATATAACAAGGATTTCAAACAGTAAATTTTCAGTTACAAAGAATAAGTAAAGAAAGTTTCAGGTAAACTACTTGCACGTGATTTTTCAATACTACTTAAATTTACGGAGAAATGGGAAAATGGGAAGGGGTAGAAAATGGGAAGATATTGTATCCATATATCGGAATTTAGGATATTCTTATCTCTGTTAAATGATAGAAACTAAGTAAAAAGAAAAACCTGTTGTAAACTACATGGAAAGAAAGAAAAATTAGTGGCCTTCCAGTTTTACAAATGTTTATTGATGGCACAAAGCAGAAGAGGTCTTTCGAATGAAGAATTTCCTGTTGGGGATATAATTCCATCTTCCAAATCCAGTTCAAGTAATAGCGAGCTGAATGAAAATATTCCAAGTAAATGCAGTTCAGAAGTTCTTGAAACAAAAGAAAATTGTAAAAATGTTAAGAAAAAAAAAAAATTAAATAATAAAGGAAAGCAATCACTCCTCTAAAGTGATTTTAAGACGTGAAAAATGGAACTATATGGAACGTTTATCAGTGGTCAATTT